CCAGTTGTGAGGTGCTCAAAGTGGTGGCCATTAGCTTCCCTTTATTAGTTCCACAAACTGATGGTGTGTATATACAGTTTTTGGTGGACTCTGTGTAAGGAAAAGGAAATCTTCCAGCATTCTTTAGTAATCTTTACTCAGTAGTGTATCTTAAGAGATAATCTTTACTGTTTTAGCAGTTTGCTTGGCCACTACTGAGGTAATAAGGAAAATTACATTTTCCCATTTTGTTGCGATTCATGTTACTGTTCCATTGATATGTTTATGAATATATTAGTAACTTTATTCATATACTTACAAGAATCATTTATCCTTACCATCTTTCCAGAAGTTGACACAGAGTATATATTTGCCATTTCACAGAAGAGGATTCTGAAACCAAAACAGTTCAAGTTATAAAGTCAAGATCATGCTCAAATGTAGATAGGTAAGCAGCATTAAGACAGAAGTCACCTAACAGCAAGTTCAATTTTTTTGCACAATATTCCCCTATTCTAATTTTGCATAGCTAGAGTTCGCTGATGGTTTTTATTTTAAGTCAATGTTATTTAAAAAAAGAAAGCTTTTTATTGATAGCTTTCAATATGTCAGCTCCATTTTAAATGATTTATATGTTTGACTCTTTTAATAATCAGAATATTGAAAAGAGGATACTTTTACTAAACCTGTCTTCAAACTTAAAAAAAAAAAAAATTCACGTCCAATAAACAAAGTGTTAACCTGGCACTTACTACAGACCTGACTTGGTAGTAATCACTGATCTCCAAGACCACACTACCTTTATCTCTTCCTCCAGCTGCCACAGGTACATCTCAGACAAACACCTATGAAATAACTTTAGCCAACACAATGTTATTTTCTATTGTATATTTGATGAGAAACTTCTGTCTTGGTGTTATCACTCTTCTTCTACAGAGCTATTTAGTTTTTACTGCAGCTGTTGTGCTTCATTTTAAGAGAAGTAAGTTATAGGTGAGACTTTGGTGTAATATAAGCCCTCTTTTATTTTAAGCCTTATTCAATAAGTGCTTAAAAGAAGGAATAGATTTCTTCAAGTCTACAGCAAGTGAATGTCAATTTTCTGACTGTAGGGAAGGCTGCAAGACCTTTTGAGCTATGGGCACGGAATGACTTTGACACTGAATTACTTCTATGCCTTAATATGACAGCAGCAATTGGTGAATTGTGGATATTGTTATTTTTTTGTACCAGGTACAAACCTGAATCAAACTCAGGATCTTTTGCTTGCTTTTATGCCACTGAGCTACATACCTAACTCTAAATTGTGATTGTTGAATTTATTGTCAGTTTTAGATAAAAATTTTAATGTAAACATATTTAGGTTTGTTCTTCCTAAATAATTTCTAGGAATATTTTAAAGTGTCTACATAAGCTATGACTTTGGAGCCAGGCTTCAAAATGTGTATTATTTATGTCAACATATTACAAAATTATTTATGAAGATGTAACTACTGGGAATATGCATGCAAAATTCTAACAAGTATCTGGTGGGAAAACTTTCTAATAGAATTTAAATAAAAACATTGATCATTTGCCAACAAGTCTGTGTGCTGATACTGTCTGATGGCAGTAACTATGAGTAAATTGTGAACAGGGGCATACATATCATAAAGCAAGTGCCTCAGAACCCAACCTAATGTCCATGTTGATCCCCAGGTATTTTTCTCAGTGCTGTTGTATTATATCTCCCTTTAAAAATGCAATTCCTATAAGCAACAAATCTTCACTGAAAATCAGGGAAAGACTTGAAAATTCATTCATATTTTATAGAAAAGATTGAAAGGAACTTTGATCTAACATGAAAATCAAGTTTTATAAAATAGAAAATAAATAAGGAACTCAGATTGATTACAGTGTGACACAATTATGAGACAAGTTTGTCTCATAATTGAGACAATTATGAGACAAATATGTCATTGGATGAAAATACTTTGTTCTTTATACCATCAATTTTACTTGTGGTTCTTTATTAATTTTTGAAATACTAAACTTTTTAAAATCTTAAAACAGGTGTCAATAGTCTAACAATTTAGCTTTATAATATTTGAAGTCTTTTCACACATATAGATTAATATAATTAAATAATTATAATATAATTAATCTACTCATTCTCATCTAATTTGTATTTATTGATGGAGAATATATTGTGTGTCACATACCACTCTAGATTCTAGAAATCTGACTGTAATAAAGGAAGGCTAATAATAGCCAAAGTAACAACATAGAAAATATTTTAAAACATCATAACAGATGATCATAAAGTGCAAAAAATAGATATACTTGATGCAGTAAAACAGCTGAGCAGAAATATAAACTGGGTTTTCAGAGATTATCTTTCTGAGAAAGTAGGGCATATATTCTTGCAATTTGTAGCCTAAGTCATTTCCCTAACATGTATTTCCTGAAAGAGTTTGATTGGTTTGTTTACTGTTTCTGGACATACAAAAGTTACCAGAAAGTAACTTAAGAAAAATGTAAGAAGAGTGAGGAGAGGTACTGAATGAATACCTTGATATTCCTGATCTGCTTAATTAAATAACAACAGGCTTCCTTCCAGAATTCTTAAACCAATTTACAGAATTTTCTTGAATGTGTTTTGCATTTATTGCTCTATAAACATTCCTGCAGGTACAAAATTGATGTTTAATTTGAGGCACAGATAGTAAAGAGGTGCCATCATCAGTAGGCCAGATAGAACAAGCTTAGAAAGAAGTGTATTCCACATGAAGGAAACTGTCTTAGAGTTACTTTTTACTTGTTGCTGAGACAAAACACCTGAAGCCCAAAGTTGGGAAAGGAAAGGTTTATTTCTTACAGTTTTTGGAGGTTTTAGTCCACACTCAGTTGGCTCCAAGGCAGGCGGGCATGGCTGGGCCACAGTTCATGGAGGTTGCAAGTAGCAAACAGGAACCAGCAAAGAGCAAGACACACCTTCTTCCTGCCATTACATCACATCCTGGCTCCACCCCTATGTGGGTGTAGCACTGACATCATCAATCCAAGCACTAGACAATGACCCAATCACAAATGCATAATGCAAACTCATGAGGCCTGGTGGACACAGACATAAACCATGACATTCCACCCCTGACCCCCAGGACTCATGTACATCCATTATACAAAAGACATTTAGTCCACCTCCAAGAGTTGCCAAAATCCTAACAGTTTCAGCATTGCTGAATAGTCCAAGGCTCAAGTCGCCTCCAAGATCTATGGTAAGCTCTTAACTGTAATCACCTGTACAAATGAAACAAGGTTAAAAATTTCTGAAATACAAAGGCACAAGGTAAATATTACCTTTCCAAAAGTTACAAACAGTGGAATAGAAAGCATTGGAAACAAAGCAAGTCCAACATCCAGCAGGACAAATATTAAGTCCTAGAGTTTCATGCTCAACATCTGAAGCAATCTGGTTGCAAGCTCCAAAAGGTTTGGGTGATTCCAACCCCATGGCACTTCCAGGGATTTCAGCACCCACAGATTTTCTATTAAATCCTCTCTGCTCGCTTTTTTCAGCTTTCCTTGAATCATCCATGTTCCTGGATTTTCCAAACTTCTGGGGTCTCCACTGCACCTTTGGCTTCACACATCTTCACAAACTGCCCTTTCAGGGGCACACTGCTTGGCCTTTGAGGCCCTTTGCAATCAAGGTGAAAGCCCTCTTACCCTCAGAATTTGTGCATTATCCTTGCACCTAAAATCAGCACCTTGTGGATGCCACCAAGGTCTGCTGCCAGCTGAAGCACTAGCCAGGCTTTTCTCTCTCTTGGCTGTAGGGGTCAGTTGCCTGGATCACAAGGCTCTGTTTACCTGATTGTGAGGAAAAGCTTCTCTATGTTGCCGCCATTCTGGAACCTTATGTGGCCTCTGTCGCCATTCTGGAACATGGCGCTCCGCAGCTTTCTCCTCTGAGAAAATTCTTTTACCTGTGCAATGAGGCTGCAAAAGGTGGGAACCTGCTTCCTGGGATGCCCAGGGCCATCTTTCTTATCTCTTTGTTTCCCATCAACAATCAAAATCTCAACTCTGTCTTTACAATCCACAGCCTTCCTGGAATTTTCCTTCTGGCTAAACTCACAGCATTGTAAATTATCCTGCTGGGCTCTTTGCTCTTGATTTGAAACATAAAGCTGGCTGAAAGCCCCCAACAATAGCCATGCCACAGCCTCAATGTTCAATTGCTTTTAAATTTCTTTTTCAAGATTGATCAGTCCATTGCCCTTTGTTTCAATCTCAGGCAAAGTCTCTGGGCAGAAGCAAAATGCAGACAAACTTTCTGACAAGCCTAAACATACATCATGGGGAGTCCAACAACCAATGCAGTCCTCCTTCCCAGAAGAAACCCCCCAAGCCTCATCTTTACCATCAGGCTTTCTATCAGCCTTCTGGTCTCCTGAGCTCTGACCAGAATCTCCTCTACAGAATAGCCTAAGCTGCTCCAGCTGTATGCATCCAGGCGATATGTCTGAACCTTTCCAAACTCCGGCCACAAGCCATTTCTAAAGCCTCTCGAAAAACATGGTCAGATATAGTCACAGCAAACGACTCCACTCCTCAGCATCAAATTCTGTCTAAGTTACTTTTTACTTGTTGCTGAGACAAAATACCTGAAACCCAAAGCTGGGAAAGGAAAGGTTTATTTCTTACAGTTTTTGGATGTTTCAGTCCATACTCAGTTGGCTTCAAGGCATGCAGGCATGGCTGGGCCACAGTTCATGGCAGCTGCAAGCAGCAAACAGGAACCAGCAAAGAGCAAGACACACCTTCTTCCTGCCATTACATCACATCCTGGCTCCACCCCTATGTGGGTGTAGCACTGACATCATCAATCGAAGTACTAGACAATGAACCAATCACAAATGCACAATGCAAACTCATGAGGCCTGGGAGCCACAGACATAAACCATGACAGAATCAGATGACTGTAACAAGCTTTCTGAAAATAGAATTAGTGTGTTTAGACTCAAAAGTAAGAATAAGTGCTTGCTTCAGCAGCACACATTCTAAAATTGGAATGATACAGAGATTAACATGGTTCCTTTGCAAGGATGACATGAAAATTAATGAAGTGTTTCATATTTTCAAATATATTTTTGTGTGCTTAAACTAAGAGTGAGAAGATGAGATTAGAGATACATCAGGATTATGTGATGTGGAGCTTTGTTAGTCAGTGTAAAATGTTTGACCATTGTTATAGAAGTGAAGCCACTAAATGCTCCCATCTAGGGAATAATATTGTTTAAAATTTAAAGACATCACACTGACTCTGATGTGCAAAGAAAAGATAAACACAAGTGAAAACATGGTGAACCATTAAAAAATATTAAAGAGGTTCAGAGATAGACAATGGTGTTATTAGTTTTAGAAAAACACTGGAGAAGGACAAAATATAAATGATATGATATATACATTCATGGATGTATAAGACCAAATAGTGGATCAAATAGATGAGAGAAAGACTGACGGATAACTGTTTGGTTCTTTGGTTGACTTTTTAATGAAATAAGACTTAAATATTGGGAAGGGAATCTAGTGATGAGGGGACACAAGAGGACAGGAAGGGGAATGGAAGTAAATGGTTAAAATATGGTATAGGTATATACCAGCTCTCCAATGTAAATGTAATATTATAGATCTCAAACATTATACTAATAGAAATCTTTCAGAAATAGAGCATATAAATACTGTATAAAGTATACATATTTAGCACAAAAGAATTGGTTGTATAATGCAAAAATTTTGGCATACAAAATATTCTTGTTAAATGTCTACTATGAATTCATTTTGTATCACTAATTAGGGATGAAAAATATGTATGAGAGTGTAAAATACTAATGAATTTGAAAGATATTAATAAAACAGTTCTTGAAGTATAATAAACATCTTAAAAGAGTGAACAAGAATCTACAAGTATCTAAGATAGTAAATGTGTATTTCTAGGTATCATTTGCTTGATATCTAAACTGGAAATTTATTTAACATCATGTTTGTTTTACTTCTTCACTTCCCTCATAGTACCAAGAATTCTGCAAAGCATGCAACTATAGCCCAGAATGTTCACAAAGATTTAAGAATTAATGTTTATATATTTAATGACTGTATAATTTTCAGCAGTGATATAAAACAATTTCTGAGTACAACTCCCTTGTAAATGGTTCTTTGTTCTTTTGCAAAGGAAACATCTGGAGAAGAGTGACTTCTCCTTCATGTGGCAACTATCTCAGAGCATTTGGTGCCCTCACACACAATTTCTCTATCTAGAAAGCAATGTAAATATGTTATGAGTAAAAACCAAGTAAAACAGTATGCAGTGTATTTGAATAAGATGGGATATAATTAAGCTTTTATATATCTGAATCATGACATTTCCCTCACAGAGGTTTATATTCATTTAATTGTGTGTTTAAATGGGTTTATGGTGAAGCTTTGAGACTGTGCCTTTCCATCCCACTGAGACCAGAACCATAAGCACAGTTATCCTTCAAAGCAGAGCAGTCAAATATGTAAATACTGCTTTGTGTTGAGAAAGGACATGCAAGTGGCAGGATCCTCTGACCAACAGGCAATTGAAATGTTGGCAAGTTCAGTGATTTTTTTTCATCTTTTTGCTTGACACTTAGTAATACTGACACAAAAGAAATACATATATTCGTATGTGGCAGCATAATATTTCCACATACCAGATATACAAATATACATATACATATATATATTTGTCTGTGTATATATACATACATACACAGACATATTTATGTACACACATATTATACAGGTAGATTAATATGTATGCCAGATATATATATATATATATATATATATATATATATGGTATATGTATATATACACATACCTTACATATGTTACTTTGTTTATTGATTTATTAGAATAAAATATTTATACTCAATTTGAAATTAGCCTCTATATACCATTACACTACAAATGCACACACACACACACAAAAAAAAAAACATGTACACACACATACACACACATGCAGTGTATAAATGTCTAAATAACTTGCTTATGGCTTTTGGTAGAAAAAAGGCCTAAAGTTAATCAGCTCTGCCCTTATTTTCACAGGTTGTAGAAATCATTACAGTTTGCTGCAGGGGAAAGAGGGGTATTTTTTTCCATCCAAGAAAATAAACATTGAAGAAACAAAAATCTTAACATTACTATGTAATGGCATGCAGAGACTAATCTTAAATTGTACAGAAGTCTTTTAGTTTCAGTGAAGAAATGAACAAAGTAAAACATTAGTAAAATTTCCTTGATATTTCAATTGATAATTTCCTTGATATTTCAAAACTACAAATTTTGTCACTATTTTAAATTTATTAGTTTCTGTATTTCTTTTATCTTAACATTTATACTCACCCCTTCATACATTACCACAAAATATATTTACAAAACACATATTCTGTAAGACTTTTAGACAAGCTCAAATGCCTGAAGCCCTTAACTCCATTTGGTAGGTATATAATGGGATGTTTTAATTTTTAACCTGAAGGAGCTCACCCAAAGATTTAAAGTGCTTATGGGGATTAATCTATTGTTGAAATGTGCTTTTTAGACAGATCCATTTAAGAATACTAGTGATTAATAGCTGCAGGAATTTTTTGTTTCACCAGTCATGGCAAAGCATGAGGCTATTTTTGCTTTTGAATCATCTTATTAGGAAAATAAACATTCATGAAATTCTAGTCTTGTTATTCTTAAAACTTTTTTCCTCCATTAAATGTAATATCAAATTAATGCCTTCAATGAATGTTTTTCTAATTCATCTAGTTCTCCCATGGAAAAACTTGAAGATGACCAGGTAAACATGCTTTCGGAAGTTTTAAGATACATGATTTAGTTAACAGCTAGAAATATGAGTATCCTGATCATACATCAATAGTAATACATGAATCTTTGATTAGTCACATTTCATTGGGTTTGGGGATGGAAAATATGTCTGTGACTTGGTTTTGTACTTATTTTGTGTTATAGCTTCAGAAAGTTTAGTTTTGTCTATGATTTTTCTTTATTTTCTTTTTTTTTTTTTTTCCATTCTCTCCTTCCTTTCTCTCGTGTTCTAATCAAGGCCACTGAGAATGAGATCAGTAGCATTTCTGGTAATGATAAGTGTTACAAAGCAAGAAATGTGATTGGCAGTGCTGGAAAGGAATAATTCCTATTTATTCTGGGCAATCAGGGAAGCCTTTACTTCTCACAAAGCGATAAATGTAAAGGGCACAAGAGAAATCAATAAAACAAATTTTTGAAGTTAGATATTTATGTGTTCAAGACAAAGTTGGAGAAGCCATGGCTTAGTGAGGATTTGTGACGTGTATAAGCATATGTTTTCAATGAGTTGGAGATGTGGAAGATGGGTATAAAGCCCTGCGTAGTCAAGTAGGTCATTGTGATAACTTTGGGTTATTCAATTCAGATTTAAGACATTAGAAAAATTTTGCCAAAAACTATAAACACATGTGAATCACTCTGTCCTCTGCACTTAGAATGTCCTTTGTGGAGGAAGACAGCCACTATAAAATATTATGGTGATTAGTAGCAAACATCATGGTAGTTAAATTTTATTGAATTGTGTATTCATTTATAATGTACTTCTTCTTAATTTATTTCTAAATAATTTTTATCTTTAAAAAAACTGAGTATAAAGTACAAACATCTCCCATTTGCTATAACTTTCAAACTCTGATAGTTTCCTGTATTTCTCAGATCATTTATCAGTTATAAAACATTACCGTAAAATAATTCACATTCTGTTCTACAGTCTCATTGAAGATAAGGCAGTGGACATTGTTAATCTTGTATCATGATATGAAACCCATATTGTTTTCATCACTCTGGTTTGGTTATATTTGATTCCAGTTTGTCTATTCATAGTAGATTTGATGGCATTGGCAGCTGTTTCAAAGATAACAGGATATACTATGATAACCATTTTTGATTTCTTATTTAACTTAATTTGAAGCCCGGTATTGCTTTCACTCTCTTGATTGAATGATTTTATTTGAATCTTTTTTGTTTGATCACTGTCTTTTTTTTGACTGATTTTATTTGAATCTGTTTTTGTTTGATAGTATCAAGTCTGAGGGTATAGGCAACTATATTGAAGACAATAAGATTCACCATGATACCCATTCTGGTTTGACTATTATCTTCTTTTGAAGTCCTATAATGTCTCCAATGTTTTGTTTTTGTTTATTTTGTCCTGTACTATTATGTTCAATTTTATTATGCCTGATGATATGGGCAATTCTATTGAAGATAACAAGACACATTATGGTAGCCATTGTTGATCACCTTGTATTTTAGTTTTAAGTCATGTACTATGTCCATCCTTTTGTTTCCACTGACCTCATTTTGTTTTCTCTCACTTGGTTTTATTCTCTTCAAAAAAATTGTGTCTCATCGATTTTTAAAATGTGGTAAGTAATGTATACATTGCAATTTACCAGCCTGACTGGTGAACAATTCTCAGAAGACCAACTATTTTTACATCTTTTTTTCCCTCTGATTCTCTGAAAATAACTCATCTCTTAATCATTCCTATAGTTTTGTCATTTCTAGACAGTTTTTTTTTTGTTTTAACCAATGTTACAAGTATATAGTGATGTTTTACTTGGTTTTGATGTAGAAAGCCCTAATGACATAAAATGTTGAGCATTTTTCTTTATAATTAATAGCTATGTGTATCTCTTTTTTGGGTGAGACTTCTTATTTACTGCTTTTGCCTGTTTTAAAGTTGGTTTTGATTCAGTATTTTTGGCATTCAATTTGAAGCGGCACAGAGAGAAGGAGAGAGATAAAAAGGAAACACGGAGGCCTTAAATGCTGGCATGAGAGAGCTTCACAGGACAGGGAGTACCCAGAGGCTCTCAGAGGAGAACAAAGAAGTGGGATTACTTTTATCAGTTTTGGCTGGGGAGGAGCTAGGGAGATGAGCAAAATGACATATTAATCACTGATTTGAAGGAGTATCTGCCTGTGTAAAACAGGAATCAGAAAGACTTACGGGGCTTGGCTTGGAAGCTTGGTGTGAAGTCTTGGGATTGGAAAGGGTTTAGCACACCT